AAAAAAAAATGCTAAAATTCCTTTATAATTCAAAAACCAAGTACCTAAATGTAAACAAATACAAATTTGAATTAAAAAATTTAAACAAAATTTTTTCCCTGAAAGTTTGGGCCAAAAACGTGGGTATGCATTATACACGGCAAAATTCAGTACCTAACCTCTCTGTGATCAGCTTCCTCATTTTCAAAATGGAAGTAATAGTATTTCCTTTATAGGGTTGTTGTGACATGTAGTTAAGTAACTCAATAAGGGTAAGCTATAATTAGAAATGCATATTTCTGTACAAATGAAATAAAATGAGTGTATATACATGTATAGATATTTATATTATATGGCACATGCATTTCTTCAGTGTTCTTACAAACTCTTTGTAAACATTATTATAAATAATAATACAAGGCTCCTCCCTTATAAAAGCCCTTTCTACACTTCCAGAGTAGGCCCTGCAATTTGAAAAGTTCTGAAACAAAACCTCTTCTGACCTAAAATATATCCCACACCACCTCCTGCTATTGGTCTATCTATCCTTCAGAGCCTGAACGTCCACCCCTAAAGTCATTACCCTGGGTGGGAACACTACAGAACTAGTGGTCTCCAGAGGGCCCTTTGACACGTTTACATGGGAAGTCAGGGAGCTCTTCAGTTCTCCCCTGTACCAAATGTTAGCATTTTGGTATAAAAAGTTTGCAAAGGTAACAAGTCAAGGTTACTACAGGACAGAGATACCCTGGGGGAAATCAGGCTGGCCCCTCCTGGAATCACCCACAGAAGGCATCTCAATATTCATCCGATAGATATTAATAGGGCAGCGGGTTAGCTCAGTTGGTTAGAGCGCAGTGCTCATAACACTAAGGTTGCCAGTTCGATTCCCATGCCCTCCACAACTAGATTGAATCAACAGCTTGACTTGGAGCTGATGGGTCCTGGGAAAAACACACTGTTCCCCAATTCAAAACAAAAAAAAGTTAAAAAAGAAAAAGATAATAATAGCAGCACTCATTAGCTGCTGACTCTTTGAGGGTTACTGTGCTAGGCACGCTGGGGATGTACTGGTGAGCAAAACAGACATGGCCTACCTTCACGGAGCTCACCCTCCAGCACACCAAAGTTCAGTTATGAGCTACGATAACTGACTACTGTGGCAGAGGAAACACTCGGGGACTTAGGACAGCATGTGGCAGAGGGGCCTGATCTAGTCTTCCAGCAGAAACAGCCTGCCCAGCGAGTAAGATTTGTGCCGAGCGCTGAAGCAGGGGTAGGAGTTTGCAGGGTGAAAAAAGGAGGAGGTGGAGCACATTCTATGCAGAGAAGAGGCTGCGTCAAAGCTCTGAGACTAGAGAGGACTTTAAGGCCAGCGTGGCTGGAGCACAGACACGAGCATGATTCTTATCCAGTGTCTGATACCTGCAGGTTTCCAGCCAGGGCAAGTGAAATTAAGTCACCAGCAGTGGTCTGGTGAGCCTGGGAGCAGTCCTAAGAGGCGGCAATGGTGTTGAGGGGTCTTTTCACATAGGCAAAGGGGAGGCCTGATGGACCATCCTGGTCCCGCCACAGAGAAAGCAGAGGCGGGCTGCCTAGAGGGCCTCCCCTCCCAAGGCCAGACCAAACCCTTCTCCAGGATTCTCCACTTTAGGAATGTGGATACACACAACTACTTTGTGGCCTTGGGCAAATGGTTACAACCATGATTCAATCATCGATTGTCATGTGTTACAGATGGGGGCTATACTGACCAACTTTGTGGGGCTATAGTAAAGATTAAATGAGAAAATATGAGCATCATACAGTAACTACTGAAAATATTAACATGACTTTGTTTATACTTGTGTGCTTAGTGATTAAAAGGGAAAGCTCCTCTGAGTCTGACTCCTCTACTAGCATATAACGAGGTGACCCTGAGCAAGTAACTAAACCTCTCTGGGCTTCAGTTTCTTGATTTGTAAACTGGGAGTGTGGCAGGCAGCTTCTGTGAGGGCTCCCAATAATCCCAGCCTCTTGGTATTTACACTCTTGTGTAAGCCCCTCTCTCTGTGTGCTGGATGGACTGAGAGACCTGCTTCCAACAGACAATACAACAAAAGTGATGGGGTGCCGGCTGAGTGGCTCAGCTGGTTAAGAGCTCGCTCAATAGCGCAAGCTCTCTTTTTTCCACAGGAGGCCTACACGCCACCGCTGGGGCTGCCGCCATGGCTCTAGTGATCCCTGAGAAGTTCCAGCACATTTTGCGAGTACTCAACACCAATATCGATGGGCGGCGGAAAATAGCCTTTGCCATCACTGCAATTAAGGGTGTCGGGCGAAGATATGCTCACGTGGTGTTGAGGAAAGCAGACATCGACCTCACCAAGAGGGCTGGAGAGCTCACTGGGGATGAGGTGGAACGAGTGATATCCATTATGCAGAATCCACGCCAGTACAAGATTCCAGACTGGTTCTTGAACAGACAGAAAGATGTGAAGGACGGAAAATACAGCCAGGTCCTGGCCAATGGTCTGGACAACAAGCTCCGTGAAGACCTGGAGCGACTGAAGAAAATTCGGGCCCCCAGAGGGCTGCGTCACTTTTGGGGACTTTGTGTTCGAGGCCAGCACACCAAGACTACTGGTTGCCGAGGCTGCACTGTGGGTGTGTCTAAGAAGAAATAAATCTGTAGGCCTTGTCTGTTAATAAATAGTTTATACACCGAAAAAAAAAATAGTGCAAGCTCTGAGCAACAGGGTCACTGGTTCGATTCACGGCCTGAGCTGAGCTGCCTCTGAGCTGCCAACAGGTGGCAGGATGGCTCAGCTAAAAAAAAAAAAAAAAGTGATGGGGTGTCACTTCTGAGATTATACTGTAACTTCCATCAAAGAAAAGCCCTGAAATGTATCGACCTGATCATTACCTCAGACTAATGCCACTCACCATGCACGCTTTCCTCCCCCAAAATTTCCAGGACAGCATTTCATCTTCCCACCATTGACCCAGAGCTCTGGACAGTTGCTCCAACTTTAGCCTTCTTTAGACATTTGAGAACTTAAGATAAACAAAGCTCCGAGAAGAATAATGTATGTACAGGAGTTTAAATATAAAGATGAGTAAGATTCAGTTCAATCATTCAACAACAATTTACTTTGCACCTACTAAGTGCCAGAGGCACTATCATAGAGGCTGGGACGCAGCAGTGATGGGGGCAACCGGGGACCCGACCATGGAGCTGAATTTTAGTGAGAGTTTAGAGAACATGAGTCCCTGGAAAGAGAATCTGGGAGGGAAGATGATTCCTGGTTGGGAAATTCTGCAAATGTTTCCAATTTTAACAACTGCCATTTTCTAAGTCCCTGCTTTGTGCTAGGTGCCTTATAGACGTAATTATTAATTCATAAAAAACCAATCACTTCAAAGTGGGTATTTGTATTTGCTAATGTGGACCTTGAGGCCCCAGGGGAGGGGGAGTTAAGTGACATGTCTCACATTACCCATGAAGGAACAGGATGGAGCCAAGGTCTGAATCCGGGACTACCTGCTCCAAAGCCCAAGCAAGGTATTGATACTAAACCTTCCTACCACTGATCTTTTTTTTTTTTTCCAATTGGGATAAAGAGGAAGAAGTAATGAACAATAACTATGAGGCAGCTTTCCAAAAAGTCCAAGGGTTTAAAAGCTATGCATAAAGGTGGAGGAAAACCAGATAACCACAATCAAATATAGACTGTTGT